GTTCTGTGGATATTAAGTCTGGAGATGTTCATAGGCATTCCTTGCATATATATCAATAGATTCATATCTTGAAGAATAAGGCAAAGCAATTTTCTCTGGGTAATTTGTTGTAGTATAGCAATTTATTTCAAGATTCCCTTAGCCCCTAATCACATAGAAAATAGACACACTCCATTTCAAAACCATTCTGAGAAGATATAAAAATTGATAATTTTGTTGTAAATAGAGGGCAGTATTAGTTCAGTTTTTAACTGAAGGAGGTTGCCAATTTGTATATCACACTTTATATCATAATTTAAAGAGTTCTTATATCATTGTGGCTATTTCTCTCTTCATTAAAATAAAAATGGACTATTATGATTGCTTTTTATTCTGATTAATTTATTCACAGATTGATTTTTATTGCACTAAAATGCTATTTTGGCATTGCCGTATGGCACTGGGTGTGTGCGTTATTTGTGGACAGGTGCCACATAGGAAAAGCACTTATGTTCAGCTTGACATTTTTTCAATGAAATAGGCAAAGGCAAATCCATGTACCTGTCTTATCCGAATGGCATTGGGACTGGCTAAAAGCGTTCATATTAGAAGATGATCACATTTCAAGTTTTCGCATAAGCAATATTCTGGATTCTCAAAAATGTGAACACATTCTCGGTAAATATTTATAGTTTGGACCACATAGCTTCATGGCATTCCAGAAAAAATTTGATTCAAATATATCTAGTCATGGTTGAAACCCCCATTATGAATGAGACCATTCAAGTTTTGATATCATGACAATATTCAAGCAATTTTGTATGAAACATCTGAAGTTTTATGAAAATTGTTCAGATTAGACAAAATATGACTGTTCACTGTTCAAATTGGGAGGTGTTCACATTTCAATTTTTTTGATATGAGAGTCAATGGGAGGAAAATGGGACCAAAAAGTGTTCAGATTGGGAGGTGTTCGGATTAGCCAGGTGTTCAGATATACAGGTTCTGTTGTGTACAAATTGAATATCATAGAAGTGATCAGACAACAGGGGCAGATCTAAGGGGCAGCCCGAATTTCAGGTCAGAGAAAAAACTTCCGCGCTTGTGCAGAAAAAAATTTTGGGCCCTTAAAACCTTTAAGTGGGCCCAAATTTTGAAATTTTGAGGCCCATTATCTTCAAAATTTGGCCTGAAATTAAAAAATATGCCTTTAAAGGCCCATTAATGACCAAAAAGGCAAATTTTTTGGCCAAACATTTTTTTGGGCCCAATTTTTTTCTGGGCCCACCCAAAGGGGGGTGGACCTGGGCCCCTAGCCCCCCCCCCCAGATCCGCCAATGGACACAATATATAATAAATATATTATGTAAGCTTCTACAGCTGCTGTTGTGGCAGAAAGAATGGATTGAAGAATCATTATTGGCAAGTTGATCCATGCTAATTGAAAGTATATGAGGCCTAAATTGAGTGTGTCACTGAATAAGATTGGTCCATTTTGCTTTCTGATAAAGTGATTTGAATATATTGAACATGATGGATGTTTGTCTTATTTCTTAGACATATCTTGGCTTACTTTATTTATTAAAATGAAATTGAAGTTTGACTTTTTGGTTACCTCATCCTCTTTGGTGATCTTTGGTTTCCCATTGGATTTTTACACATATTTTAAATACAGCCGATAGTGTACAATACATATTGGAAAGGGGAGACTATGTAAATGGCTGGGGTATTGGGTCAAACAAACTGAGAGGCATCTCCTTTTGGAGACAATGGGATGTAGTTGATGTGGCTTTTGACTGTGTTATCACATGGTATATGCTAAACCAGCCATCACACAAAAGAAATTCATTGTAAAATAAAAGTATGATTCGAAGGCTGTCGTTTTGAACAGTATTCTGTATATGTGATGTACATGTGATGTACTTGAAGGAAGAAGAGAAAAGAGAGTTGACTATTTTTTCAAAATTAATGCCAATATTTTTATAAAAATCTTAGATTCATTATCTGAAAAAAGAATTGAGGTATCTGAGTATTAAGATGCAAGTAAAGAATTATTTTGAAGTAAACATTAGAGTAAACTAGACACTCGGTTCAAAGTTCATATCAAAGCCATGAAGATTTCTCACAGTGAAAAGCATAACCAAATTAGGAAACTAAATTCAATAAATTTGTTTCATTTTGCAGATGTCATTTTTACCCTTCAGAGTCATCTTCATATATTTCCTGTGTCATGTACTGCATGATAGATTTGGCTGATTTTTGGAACATCCTCATCTTGATTTATATCAGACATAAGATAGGATTGATTTAGATTTCATGAATAATTTTATTTTGATTGGATAAATATAAGCGTATTACATACAGGGTGGTCAAATAAGAAAAATACTCCATATTTGGTACATGTGTACATCATTCAATCTCCTACTAGCCTATAATATTTCATGACCATCAGATTAATAATTACAATGTTACAGCACTTTCAACATGGTCCAAAGGAGATCATAATTGTCATTCTGGCCATACCTACTGAGGATTGCAGTTGGGTCATAGACAACTTGTGCAGGTTTGCCTTAGTGCTATGATGGCCACACCTGGAGCATGTTGTTTAAAGTGCTGTAACATTGTGACTATCAGTCTGATTGTCATGAAATATGATGGGCTGATGGGAAATTGAATGATGTACAAGTGTGTAAAATATCAGGGTGTGATTTCCTAAAATGACAAAGATATGAGGAAAATACAGGGTTGCCGTTTTTTTGACCACCCTGTACTTTTTTGTTAACATAAGACTTGTCCAGATAGTAATGTGTTGTGGGTTTGATCCACATTGGAGTGGACAAAGTCCTTAGCATATAGATTATTCAGTGTTTTCAATAACTAACACATTTTGATTTTGTAACATGGCCCTTAAAAAGACAAATGTTGTAAATATTGTTTAATAATTAAAGAGTATAGTTTTAAAACTTGATGTTCAATTTTTGATATCTAAATGAAGCAAGCAAAATTTCAAGTGCCGCATTTTGAAATATATGCTACTCAATATTGGCATTGATCCCATCATATTTAAAATACAATAATCACTCTAAGTTATACTCTGCAGGAAATTTGTGATCCTGATGAATAGGGGTTTAAAATATGCAAGATATTTAAGGAATATGTTTAAAATGTAAGAAGCATTTACTGAAGTAAATAGACATAATAATTTAATCATTTATCAATTGTAATATTAGAAGTGCACATCATTAAGAGTGAAATGTATTAATCTTTGTTTGGGCATAATTTAACTTTAAATCTCTACTAAAACAAATGTCATTGACAATTATAAGCCCTATGTATACTTTATTATACCATATACAGCATTCCAAGATGTCTTGACTAAGAACTCTTACAAAAGGATAAGTCAGGAAATAAGTCAGGATATTGACTTAGAAAACAGAAAATTATGTTTCAAATCAAAGTGCATAACTGCATATCCTTATCAAATATAACCAGGATGTAATAAAAACCATATTTCACATACATTAAGGGAGGGGGAAAATATCATATATCCTGACTGATCCTTTCTAGTGAGTTTACACTACTATTTTCAAGAGAATGTGAAAACAGCTTAAGCGAATTGATTGAAATGCTTGAAAAAAGGCGAAACAGGCAAAAGCAGCGAAACAGGCAAAAGCAGCGAAACAGTAATTTTATTTTTCGAGACGTATTGATTGAAACGGTTGAAAAGTCCCGGCGAAATGCTTGAAATGAAAGATGTGCATATTTGTTTTTCTTTTCAATCATTTCGTCTGTTTCTTCATGAATTGGCCGTATGATTGAAATGCTTGAAACGGCGAAACAGGCGCAAACAGCGAAACTTTAAATTCATTTCAAAAGCGAATCAATTGAAACGATTGAAATGCTCGAAATGACGCAAGCATTGAATCGTAGGAAATGATGCAAGCATTGTAACTATTGAACTGATTGAAACAATTGAAACGATTGAAAATTAATGTATAGTGTATACAGGGTTTAGCTCTAACATTTAAAACAAAAATAATCTTATTTTGCCAATTAATACAGTATGAAAATGTTGCTTATGATCATCATGGGCTTTCAAAGCCCATGTAAACATTGACTAACATAAAATCATTATTAATTTGTTCAAATTACATGAAACATGTACGGGGGTTGATTCAAAAATTCCGAACCATTTGCTCTAAAGATCTTAATATTTTATGAATATTGTTCATGTTGGCCACAGCCACCCCATATATATATATATATATTTTTTTTTTTTTTTTTTTTATTCAAGTTCTCATTTAATACATTTCAAGTACAATATATAAAAGAGTACAAATGTAATTTCATTTGTAATTTCACAAAAGTTTTATATGTAGAAATATGTACTATAAGTTTAAATAGATATAATTTTACATGATCTTACAACTTGAACTTCATTCATACCCATTCAAATTCATTCATTCATGCATTCTCCCACTCACACGTTGACTTTTTCATTGGTATATCTCTTCAATTAGAGTCCTAATGGACCATTTATTTTTATCAAACGAAACAGAAAATGTGGTGTTTCAAAAAAGTCTAGAAAAGTCTATATAGTGCATTTACATCCATTTACAGCCACCCCATATATAGTAGTTTCATTTTGTGTAAAAATAAACAATAAATCTGACCAGCAACATAGGTGTCTGGTTACCATAGCAACATGACAACAGGGTAGGTGGAACTGGAATAAATTAAACTTTATTCCGAATTTCAGCAATTGAAGAACTATTTCAGATCAATTCAATACGTTGAGTTTCACCCCCATAAAGTCTCATCCAATAGATAATTATAGTTTAGAAGTTCATTCGCCTTCAAAATAGTCACCACCATGTGCTACACATTTCTTACAGCGTTTCAACTAGTCCTGAAATACATAGTTAAGTCCACCTTTAGCTGTAGCATAAACGCTATGAGTAAATGCCTGGATAAAGTCAGCTTCATCATAGAAATGGATACCACGCAGTGGTTTCTTGGCCTCAGGAAACAAGAAAGTCACATGGTTCCATATCGGGAGAATGTGGCAGATGGGGCTGTAGTTGGGCCTGCAAGCACTTGTGTATTGTCCCTATTGTAACATCGGCTCTGTGGGCTGAGGCAATACATAGTGAGAGTAAAAATTCCCAAGATCCGGTCGTTTTTTTTCTCATAGCATCTTTAAGATCTTTCTTCAGCACCTGGAACACATTTTTAAACTGAGTAAGTGTCATACCTAATTGATTGACTCAAAATAGATCAGCATACCACATAAAAGTAATCTAAATTACAACTTTATAAATGAGCGATATGGTTTGTAACTGACCTTTGAATAATAAGCTCCATTGACGGTGGCTCCAGTTGCCACAGAGTGAACCAGGATAACTGTGTCGTACTCTTGCTCCACCTACCCTGTTGTCATGTTGCTATGGTAACCAGACACCTATGTTGCTGGTCAAATTTATTGCTTATTTTTACACAAAATGAAACTACTATATATGGGGTGGTTGTGGCCAAATATGAACAATATTCATAAAGTATTAAGAATTTTAGAGCAAACAGTTCAGAACTTTTGGATCAACCCTCGTACATGAGACATGAAATAATACTTTCATCATTTCATATGCAACAACCACTTAGATGTTGAATCTCACACAACATGTCCCTGAGGCTGTTGTTCTCCTGTTGCATCTCTCCCATCCTTTGAATCATGTTCTCCTCCCTTTCTTCCTTTTGCTGTATGATATACTGCATTTTAGGGGTGTTGGCTTGTTTGATGTATGCAAACTGCTCTTGGATTATCTTTTTCATTTCAATCAATTCCTTCTCTCTTTCATCCAAGCCATTCTCTCTCTCATCCAAATCATTCTCTCTCTCATCCAAACCATTCTCTTTCCTTTTCAGGCGCTCTCTTTCCTTCTTTAGCCTCCAACCTTCCTTCTTATTGTGTTGTTTCATCAAGAAGTTTGACTCGTCAGCTTTATTTATGGCCTTCTTCTCTTCAAACAAGGATAAGACACCATCTCGTTCTTCTTTCATTCCCGTCAACACATCGTGGGATTCTGGCCATTCCCTTTCTTTCTTTCTACGTTCATCCTCCAGTTGATATCTCTCCAGTTGTAAACATAACTTCTTCTTACTTTCTCTTTCATCCTCCAGCTGATGATTTCGAAAGCGAATGCTGTCTAAAAGATATACATTCTCCCTCTTTAGCTCAGCATTTTCTTTCTCTACTTCACACAAGAGTGTTTTCTGTCTCTTGTTTGGAATTGCTAGAAAATAAGGAATGACAGAACTAAATGGCCATGCTATATGGTGTAAACTAACATAATATACAATATAGACGTATCAATTTATAATAATGAATAACATAATTTAGTGAGACTCATTGAAGGGGAGTTGCATACTACTAATATAAGTATTCTAGATGTGGCTAATAATGCTTTTAAAGGCCCCATATAAAGTTTAAACCACTTTGGCTTATATTGTAGTCTTACCCAATGTTATCAAAGTGTGATATGTGAAACTTTTTTTTTAAATTTCAAAAAGTGGTTTTTGATAGACTTTTTGTTCCAAAATTTGTGAATTTATTTTAAACCAACTTTGAGAGGTCACTCATATCTACTAATTAGCCACAATTCATACCAATGTATAGCATTCATCCTCCAATGTTTCTTCCGAAAAAATTAAGAAAATCGGTTCATAAATAAGCGAGAAATGAACTTATCAGTGCATGAAAATGGTTCTGAGAAAAACGCATTTCAAAATTTTAGTTCTCATAGAAACCAATGGTACAATGATATCTAAAACATAATTTGTTCTTCCTTTTAACCTGGTTAGACAATCAACATTGTTTTTTTATGAAAGTCTAACATATTTAGAAAAGATTGACATCGAAAAAAAAATTTCAATTTTTTTCAAAATTTTTTCGGTACCTTAGTGACATCACTAATGTTTCAAAATATTTTTGATATGCTAAAACATTGAAGTGGCCCATTAAATATGGCATTTTATTATTGAAATAGTGTGTCCTTTGTTCAATCTTTGCATTGGTGTTAAAAAGATAATTTTTTTGAAATGCATTAAGAAATATTTGATGATGAAGAAATTTCAACTTTTTTTGAAAAATGGCAGTAAATTTGAATATTTGAGAAATGAAATGCTCACAACTTTTTTCTTCAAAAATTTTTTTGTTCAAAAATCTCTAAAATCACTTTTCAAGTCCTGACAAATAGCAAATGAATTATAAAAAAATATTTTCAAACTTTAGACGGGGACTTTAAGCCTAGCCGCAGCACTATATTGTAGTGTCTATATCATATAAATAAATAAAAAAGATATAAAAAATACTACTAACCTGCTGCTGCATTGTCATCAATGTCAGTGGCCTTTCTTTTTTCAGGAGGGATTCCTGGAAATATAATATACTATACAGCTTATAAATTCTGCACTTTTACCACATTGTATGTACAAATCTTGCTTACACTTAGTTAAAGTGTTATGATAAAATGATATTGGTTGTGCACATAAGAAATCAACAGTCTTCATCACACAAATATTAAGATATTTCAATATATTCTATTGTCTGAATCATCTGTTTTACTCCACCTGGAAAGATTGTTAATTTAACCTGTGCTTTTGAATATGCAATAATTTAAATGGAACATCTGAATTGAATTGAGTAAGTGGCACTAAGTTCCTTCAACAACATTCAACTTTTGAACTTTTAATTGTTATTGACATCATCTATTAGGGGTTTTGGCTCTCAAATCATTTGCTACAGAGATAAGGTCAGGCCTGTACCCAGGTTTTGCCAAGGGGGTTCACTTTCAGAAAAACTCCAGGGGGGTTCACTTGACAAATTTGGCTAAAAATAACATGAAAAGTTCTCAGAATTGTGAAAAACTGAATGATTTTGAAAGAATTTTTGACCGGACTACGGACCTGAATGTTTAACAAAAGCGAATTAGAAATATGAATCACAAACAAAGTATCATCACTCAGTCTTGTAACTGCCTTTTTCCTGCGAGGCTTCTGATTGTTTAGAATCTGTTTTTCTGAATGGTGAATGGATCACTTCAGGTACCATCGTGAGATATCACAGCCTTCTCTCAGTTTCCTTCTAGAACACATCCTTGTGCATTGCCAGAGATGGTCTGAGTATCAGAATGATAAGGTACCCAAATAGTAAAACATTTTATAACAAGGGAACATAGAACAAATGAATTCTAATGAGGAATTTGAATGATTCGACTTTGCAATTTTTTCTCAAGGGTCTTGTGTTCCCTCACCTTCAATTAGCATTCACACAAAGCTAGGCAAGGTGTGTCCAATTACTCAGATGCGAGTAGGTAGTTATCAGTTTCGCCACTAGGTGGCTGATTCAGGGAAAATAACATGGCAGGGTACAAAATTCTCTTTTACTTTAATGTTCATCAGTTTCAGTGGTTCACTTCTCATATTACCCTTATGTATCTGATAGTTATACAAATTAAAATATGTCCAGTAAAAGAAAATATTATCTGCCCAACACAAGAAAAATATTTCACTTTTTGTGATTTTACAACATGGGGTCTATGGGGAATCTCCCCGACCTAGAAGTCACATTTTCAGAGAAAAACTATTTCCAAACCGCATTTTCAGATGTTATTTTACTTGTAGATTCCAAATATGACATCAGTTTGACTGAATTTTGAATTGATAATGACTTAAATCAAGATTATTTCAACTCGCATCTTGGATATTCCAGCCAATTTGAACATGCCATTTCATATAACTGCATTGCATTATATAACCCAACAACTCATCAAAGGTTACCTGTTGAACTGTTGTCAAGGTGGCAACTTGACTCTACAGATTGAAATTGATACTTTGCCAACATGACCGTTGCAAAAAGTTTCATTGTGAATAATGTTTTTTGGTGATTATGTATCTTTTAGGTAATTTCGTTGAAAATATTTTGTAATGTGTGAAAAGAATTTAAGCCCAAGAATCAATGCATTGAGGCTGATTCATTCCACTCCAGCTTGGTTCCTAAAGTTTGCATCCCGCTACGCGATCATGCAAAGATTTGAATACAACACCTACAGTGCTAACCATAAATAAAGGACACCTGCTGAAGTGAGGACTCCCATGTTAAAAAGAAGAGAATTTCCAAGTGACCATACATAGTTGAGAATACATAAAATGTATTTAGACATTATTGGAAAGTATGAAGTCTAAAATCACCATGGTCAAGGAATGTGATAGAAAATGAAGATGCCAATTATATATGGTGAGCACTCTAAGAGAAATAAAAGTCCAGGGCTGAAATCCTTGAATATCAATTGTCAGTCTCAACCCTCATCATTCAATATTATATACATTTATAAATTGATTGTCTAATATTACATTATTAGACCCCCCCCCACGCAAGGAGAGTAAGGAATTTGATCCACAATATTGCCCCCCAGGGGTAGGAATTTGACGAATATTGTCATCCCGGTGGTGGGGAATTTGATTTAAATGTCCCTGGGATTGGGGATTTTCGACTGAATCTGTTTCGTCCAGTATATACTTTAGGATTCTTGGAATTTGCAAACTATTGGTATATTGAATGAATTAATGATCGCTCATATCGGGAACAGAAGAAAATAACTCATCTACATGTTAGGTATAGTTTCAGGGGTGGAATATCTACTTATATTTATAAGCTCATAATTTTATTGATTTATAGATTATTAGCAATTTAAATTAATTTTTGAAAAAAAGTTACGTTCGAACGAATTCAATTTAATTAATTTTATATAGATGAATAAAATGGAGGGAGGTAACCTATTAAAGTAAAAAGCCAATATCTTAAAATACGTCATTGCATAAATTACAAGAGACCTTTCAAAATTACTACGATGTGGATTTGTTCCAGATTTGTACCCATCAAACGCAACAATCCACCCGCCCATTCCACAAAAAATGATCGTTCACACAGGTACATGTATGTTCTCCACTTCTGTAGAACAGATACAAACCAAGAGTAAAACCATGTCCCTCTCTGCTCATTTTGTCAAAACTTTCAGGCAATTTGTGAAAACGTCGTCATTAAATGGACTGTATTCTCATTGGCTTTTAATTTCGCAGGTAATTGCATCATTTAAAAAGCTGTTTCTCTATTGGTTATATGGAAATTCCAAGCGAACATTTCATTCATAAATTAATTGTAGCATGTGTAGTCGACGTTCCGCGAAGAATCCTATGAACATAAATGGTGTCTCGACCCGGGGGTCGCGAATATTTGACCAGATTTATTGCTCCAAGGGTAGGGAAATTGACATATTAGTTTGGCCTCAGGGTAAGGAATTAGACAGGCAAAATTTGTCAAATTCCCCACCCATGCCTGCATGGGGGGGGGGGGGGTCTCATGCAAACTTTTGAATGATGCATTAGGCATAAATTGTTGGCTCCTGATCAATATTTCATCAGATATTTTATATCAGATATTTCTAAAATTCTTAAAAGCTATCTAAAGATGTTACTTACGTTTGGATCTAGTTATCATCTCATGCATTATACATGCAACACCAATAAAATAACTTCCCTTGGTCAGCAGTAATAGGAGATTACAATGATTGCGCTGTCGCTATACCTACACAGGTTGCTAAATATTTAAAGGTCCAATGCAAAGTTTGAAATTGTTGTTAATTAAATCATCCAAATATTTTTGTCATGACTATAATTTGTGGTCATTTAATACTCATTTCGATGTAGCTTGAATTTCCCCCATTTTATACATGGACAGTACATTTATAAATCATGTTTATGATTTATGTTATTTTTTTTAAAAATTTATTTATTTGGAAAATGCTATTAGAACAGCAGCACTCAATCGGTGCATCCATTACATCATATATAAAATATAAATGAGATAAAACATATTATGCAAAAAGCCACTAAAAACATGCATACGACAATTGTGCTCACTGCACATGTATTTTCTTTAAAAACAACTTGAAATACTTATTTGTCAAACTTCATGTAATTTTCATGTCCCCACAAGATTAAAGTACTGCACTGGCGGATCATGGCTGGGGGGGGGCTGGCCTTAAGGCCCCCAAAAGTGGGCCTTTTTGGTCACAACTAGGCCTTTTGAGGCCTTATTTTTTAATTTCAGGCCAAATTTTGAAGAAAATGGGCCTCAAAATTTCTAAATTTGTGCCCAATTTAGGTTTTAGGGGCCCAAAAAATTTTCCCCCGCAAGGGCGGAAGTTTTTGTCTCTGACCTGAAATTTGGGCCCCCCCCCCTTGTTGGTTCCCAGATCCGCCCCTGTACTGTGTACATAACATTATTGAAAAATACATTCCTATCACTTCCAAAGTAGGGACAGACAAAAAGTCTATGTTGTATAGTATCCTTAACATTGAGATTACCTAAGAGACATATGCCATTGCCTTGACCCCATCTCTGATAGTCGGAGCGAATGCCAAAACATCCGGTTCTGGCCATGAACTTAAGTTTCTGACCATAGAAATCTAAGTCGGAGTTCATATAATTTTCTTTAAAGGGATTCTGGGAGATACAAGTGACAAAATATTGCTTCTAGGACGAGATCAAATGACTTTGACATTGTTAATACCCTACCTATTTTGCAATTTAACAACCAACGCAAGTATACAGTGTACATATCATATTTAGGCAGATATAGGACAAATTCATGAAAATATTTTTTGATAAATCTCCTAATTAAGTTCTGAATCCCTATCTGGTATTATTATGTGCATCATAGGTCATGGGTTCTCTATGGCGATACCTGATTCCCGATCCATTTTAGACATTTGCATTTCATGACTTGTCTTTTTTTCTATGTTCTACATTGTAGAAAACCAAAACCTTTTAAAAATCTAGCTTTAATATATTTTAGATCTTAGATCTTTATTAAGATTCCAAATATATCACCATAGAGCAAGGACGATTGGCTCCCAGGATCAAAACTTGATATTTTCCAAAAATGAAAACGTCGAAATGTCGTTATTTTCTGAAATAAAAACCGACTATAAATTCAAAATAAACAGCTCAAAAGATTCGAACCAATATCTTGATCATTTCTTGTGAGTTTTGGAATTTTTAGTACATGAGCTATGTCAACATCAAAATTCTTGGAGTAGACACCCTACTTGGTATTTGAAATGGTAATTAATCATTCTCTTGAAATGTTTTCTATTGGAATAAGTTTTCTGCACCTTTGCACTTTTAAACCATTCTTTCAAACTTACTGGCAGCACTCATCTTCAACATATCACTCCAGCGACCAAAGCATTAGTTTCCATAGGCGTAGCCAGGGAGGTGCGATGGGTGTACCCCCCATAACCAATAAGAAATAAAATCCAGAAGAAGAAAAGAGCTTTAGAATGCTTTTTATTTGAAGCTTCTAGCTCAATTTTGAAGGAAGTTGCATCAGCTTTTGTAAAATTTAAAATAAATCTTGTTTTTGCCACAATCTGACTGTAAAAAGATTCTCCCCCCTGACTGAAAGCTGGCTATGCTCCTGGTTTCAGTTTCTACCATAAGATGGTTAATTAAATGAAGTATTTGGAAACATTCAGAGACTTGATTAGTTACATCACACTCATCCATAGATAAACCCATGTCCTAGTGCTGATGACAAGATCTGATTAAGTTTTGGGCTTGCTGGGTAAATTACACAGTGGCCATTTAGAACTTTTCGATACTTTTCAAAAATTCATGAAAACCGCTTATCTGTTCAGCTTATAACATAATTTTTGGAACAAAAAGTCCTTTTTGAAATTGAAAAAGTTTCATGTATTAATTTTGATACCATCGGGTTAGACTACATTAAAACTTAAGCCAAAGTGGTTGAAACTTTCCGTGGGGCCTTTAAAGAGGTGTGTCTTGGTTACCTCCTCAATTCTAAGGTGATGTCATTCTGGACAATGACCTTTAATAAGTAGTTCAAAACACATTTCAATAAGTGTTTAAATGTTGATCAATACTGTATCAGTAATGTTGTCAGAGGAAGTGGCCATAAATAGATACATGTAATAATTGTCCATGATCTTGTGATTAAAAGCTCTGATTGATTTGGCGAGTTCAGAGGCTTCTTTGTGTACATGTATGTAAAATCATATACCTTCATGCATACTTATTCATTGGTATCTTGTGAATAAAGGAATTAGCATTAGAAATCACCATGAGAGTCCGTTGATTGTGATTAGTGCCACTTTTCTGGTTCATTACATGTAAGTGCAGCATTTTAAAAATATAACATCACTAGAAAAATAGCAAAATTTAAATGAAATCATATTCATTTCTAAGTATGGTATTCTTTCTTCTTTCAGATATCCAACAATCTAGCATGATGAACCAGTGTACTACTAATTGAGAATTATCAATTGAATTACATGTAAGTTTTTGCATGGCATTTAAATGCCCGTCTTCTTGAATTCGAATTTAAAGATTACATGTAACTTTCTTAAGATTTCAAAGCAAGATGAGACTAAATTATGGGGTGATCATGAAGTTATGAATGTTATTACCATGACAGCATGGAATTTCTTTTAATCATTTAGTCTTTATTGTTCATGGTATTACATTTACTTATTTATTGAATTGCAAGAAAGGTCTGGATATTTGGTAATTAACATTGGTCCTATATTTGGACATTTGGTATGGGTTTTGGGTGTTATTGTGATTGGTATGGGAACATATATTGATGTCTGAGTGTTCAGCCTAGGACCCCCGCCAAATTTCATATATAGTGAACTCCCCGACCCAGTTCTTTACCATTGTAATTACCATTATTGTGTTTGAGGCCATGATACTGTAAAATGGGAATGATTTCAGATGGAAAAAATGAATGTTCTTCAACATTCAAAATTCAGTTATATGTGGCTGCATGTCAAAGAATTTTCTTAATTCTGAAAATGAAAGAATCATGCATATATGAATGTTTAATACATGCTATATGTATACTATACCATTCCTCAATAAAAATGAAAAAAAACTTTTCCTCTATTTCTTTTATCATTATTCTCCTGGTGAAAAGACTGACCTAATATGATTTTAGTACAATAATATATTATAAATTTAATTTCATATATTCTAATATACATGAGGATTTTGTTTGATGATCTTAGGCTCTTAGCAAAGAAATAATCCAAGATGGCTGCTGCTGGTGTTACACTGCCGAAATATTGCTATCGTGACCTTGCGCCTCCCCAGATGCAAGATGCCATCAAGAATAACAATACCGTCAACATTAAGCTGGTCAAAGTGGGTAAGTTTTTGACTTAAAATAGTTAACAAGAGTTTTCAAGAGCTGTTTCTGTTGAAAGCCCATGGTTTTAATAACTTAGATGCTAAATAGGTACACTGTAGTTACCAGTTTCACCACCAGGTGGCCCATTCAGGTCAGATAGCATGGCAGGTACATGTATAGTGAAAAGTTCCCTTTAACTTAAATATTATCAGTTTTAGTGGTTAAATTTTTATATCACCCTTATGTATCTAATAGTTATGCTAAATAAAATATGTCCAGTATTAAAAAGAAAATATTATCTGTCCAATACAAGAAAATATATTTCATGCACTTTTTGTGATTTTATACCATTGGGTCTATGGGTAATCTCCCTGAACTAGAAGTCACATTTTCCCCCAAAAAATTAATTTTCAAAGTTGATAAATGTCTTGTTTGATATGTCTCACTATTAATTGACCAAGGCATAGAGTTTTGAGTGTTTATTGAGATTTACAGATATGATATCCTTGCATAACATACAAATGTATATATTTTGAATTTGTGAAGACTGAATATCTGCTGTTGCCTTTGAAGGGATGACACATTGTCGCCCTAGAGTGTCCCTGTGTCCCATGCCATACATCATGGTTACGGCTTGTCTAATTTCTGTAAAAAAGTTAATACTGTGTGATAATATTCCCAGTGGCCCCTAGCCCACAGCTTGTAAAAACTGGGATAGGCAATATTGTGACTTTGAGGCAGCCATAGATTTTCTATGAACATCATAGGTATTTCTTGGTCAAGCAATATTGTGACCGATCCTGGGGCATAATCTATGCAATGTATACTTCTGATGATCTCCGGCTTCACATCATATAATTTTTGTTAAGAAAGCTCCAATGTCTCGTCTTACATTTTCAGATCTTCCACAACCATAACATTTCCCATATATTATAGTGTAACAATCTCAATGTATTTTTCTATGTATATTGAAGCATCCCCCGTGTATACACAGTAACATTTTACATTTCATTTCTTCCAGTGTCAGAATTTGCCTCTATGGTATCACTGGCACATGAACAATTTGCGACTCAACTACAAAACATAGCAGATAACTTCAAAAAGAGAAATCAGGATTTGAAGAAAGAAAGGTACTGTACAATATTTGCATATCATTGCTTTCATTTGATTGTAAAAAAGTTTGATTGTAAGTAGAAGGAAATTAATGTGAATTGCAAATGAGAAAACAAATCAAAATATCTGAAAAAATTGCAATTGTTTTCCATGATATATGGATGTACCTTAAATAAAAAAAACTATGTTCAAAACTTGAATCCAGAAAATGCAAAATGGTTACAATGGTAAAATAATTATGGTTTGATCAAGTGATGTCGTGATAACTGTTCAGCTATACAAGTATAAGTGAATTACTAATAGTACAATAACATCATTTCAAAGGGCAATATAGTGAAATATTGAACCAATGGCTGAAGGCTCCAAGGTCCAATATTTCACTATTTTGCCCACAGAAATGACGTTATAGTATTATTACCACTGCAGGGCTGAAATAGCAAGAACTGAGTACCACTGAACAAAAATTATGCACATTGAGCGATATCTTATTTCCAAGGGTATTAATCCATTATTGGCCAGCCACTATATAGGCCTGCCACTATGACGTCACATATAGCCCAGGTCAATATAGTAAAATGAATGACTTCTAAACTAGTACTAATACCACTAGAACAGGCCCACCAGCAAGGTGGTAATAATGTTAGTTGACTGGTAATGGTCCTTTTCATAAATAAGAATATGTAGATTAGAATTTTAATATCATAATATTATTCCTGACCTCCCAATGTTGTGCTTCTTCATATCCTATATACAGTGAAACCTGTATATCCGATCACCTCTCTAATCTGAATATCTCTCAATGTGAACAATTTTTCCCGGCCAGTCCCAAATTTGTAACCTCCCATTGGCACAAATACTTTAAAAGTCTGATAATCCAAACACTTTTGACCAGTCCCAGTGGTGTTCAAATTAAATAGGTTTTACTGTAGACTGTGAGTATTGCAAAACCACCCAGGAATAGCCTGACAACAGTAAGGTCAGATACAGTTGTCACAAATGGCGTACATAACTGTCGCTTCAATTAGATTTTCATGAACTGTATGTTTAATAGAGCACCTAGACTAAATTCCTTTGGAATAACAATCAATCAAAGAGTCTTAATACTCATTGTACAGTTAATAATGTTCTACCATCGAAATAAAGACTTTAATTTAACCAATCAAAATGAGATACGGGACAAGGGACACTGTAATTACCATGTGGCGTTGTCTTTCTAAATTACTCAAATTCAGATTCCATTGTCATTGACGATATCGAAGACAATATATTGTAGCGATTCACGACCCAATTTGATCAAAAATGGGATTTCATATGATACATTATCACAAGAGCTTAATACATGCACAGAATTAGCGACGATAAATCCCATGAAATTAGGACCAAGTGATTAAACAGTTGAAGCGACGGTTATGTCCGCCATTTGTGACAACGGTATCTGACTTTACCGTTGTCAGGCTACTCCAGTGTGAAAACAGAACTTTCAGAACATCTGTACTGTTGATAATGAAATATTTTAGACTCATAACAAGTCCTTTAAATATGATGAATAGGTATTAGTATGAAATTTGAATTGTAATCATTTCAAAGATATGAGTCGGGCGTTGTCAGGCTACTCCAGTGTGAAAACAGAACTTTCAGAACATCTGTACTGTTGATAATGAAATATTTTAGACTCATAACAAGTCCTTTAAATATGATGAATAGGTATTAGTATGAAATTTGAATTGTAATCATTTCAAAGATATGAGTCAGGCGTTGTCAGGCTACTCCAGTGTGAAAACAGAACTTTCAGAACATCTGTACTGTTGATAATGAAATATTTTAGACTCATAACAAGTCCTTTAAATATGATGAATAGGTATTAGTATGAAATTTGAATTGTAATCATTTCAAAGATATGAGTCAGTTCAGAGTTACACTTCCTCAATAATGAATAAATAAAAAAGTAGTGAAAATTCCCTTTAATTAACATTTTTTAGAAGGTCCTTGAAACCAACACAACAGTTAGGTTAAACAAATATTGAACCTTTTGAACTCTTGGTATGACGCACTTGATTGTTGAGAATTAGGTTTCATTATATTTGTAACAATTTGACAAATGATCATAATTGCTCTTTTAGATTACATAGAGGATTGGTATCGATATGGCAAACTGAAATGAACACATGTTTCTCTAAAACCAGTCATCAAAGAATTCTCAAAATTTCACACATCATCGATCATCTTTTGAAACTTAATTTGAAAAAATATATATACTTTTTCTAAACTGTTTTTAAAACACATCAGACACTTCTTTTGTTCTCAGTATCATATGTAAGGAATGAAATGGAACATGTAAATTCCAACCTCATTGGAACAAAACGACATATACACAACATGTTTAGATCTATCGATATTGTAATTGTACAAAAAAAGTTTGGTTCATTTAAAAAAAAGTCTTGTTAATGAAATAAAAGGTTTACTTTCATTTTTATCTATTTTGGGTTTTTTTGTTTTAATATTTGAATACTTTTTGTTAAATAAGCCAAACTTTCCTTTAACTATAGTATTGAGAGGTCTAAAAATGTTGTATGTGCTATTTTGTTCCAACAAGGTACAGAAAGATCTTTTATTTTATTTTATTTACAAGAATTGGTAGAAATTATGGAACAAAAAAACAATTGCACAAAAACAAAAATTGTTCACAAAAAAACAATAATATAAAATATATATAAATTATTTCGGCATTAAATTGTTGTCAATCAGTGACCATAAAGGACAGTGTTTTTTACAGAATGTTTTCAATAATTGGTTTGAGAGAAAAACAATAGTACAATAACGTCATTTCTAAGGGCAATATAGTGAAATATTGGACCGAGGGCCGAAGGCCCAAGGGCCCCAAGGTCCAATATTTCACTATATTGCTCGCAGAAATGAGGTTATTATTAGTATTATTACCACCGTTAATGACCAGGACTGAAACAGCATGAAAATCTTACGCATTGAACGATATCTAATTTCCCGGGGGAAATTGCCGGTCCAGAATATATTCTAGACCAGTCCATATGGACCACCACTATGACGTCACACATTTCTCGGTCGATAAAGTAAAATGAATGCATTCTAAACTAGCACTAACACCCCAGTCACATTTCCTACGGCGACCTTGCGGTCTATCATTTCTGCGGCCAGTAGCTTTTCTACGCTCGCCGCAGAATTTCTGCGCTCTCATACTTTTGCAGTCACATTTCCCACGGCAGCCGCACGGTGAATTTTAAATTTCTATTGATAAATAATAGTTTTTTCATTTCATTTACATCAGGACAATTTATAAATGTTATTCAAAGTGCTAGGATGTAGTATCAAATGAAAAGTGATCGTGAAACATTGACAAATAATGATTCAATCTTGTTGAGCCAGTTGATTTCTACGGGGACCTCAGAAATGAACAAATATTATAACTCCGAGTTATAATTTCTACGGCGACCCTGCGGCCTCTAAAAAACTGGATACGCCGCACGGAGGCCGCAAGGCGAGCGTAGTTTTCCTACGCTCGCCGCAGAAATACACTGATTTAATTGATCTGCGGTCGACGCACGCCCTCCGTACGACAAATGTGACTGGGGTGTAAAACCCCTAGAACTGGCACGGCAAGGTGGTAATAATGTTGAATTCAGTTCGCCATATCGATACCAATCCTTTTAAGTTTAATTTAAGTTCAGAGATAAAGACAAGTGGCATATTTGCAGAAATTCAAAGAGATAATATGAGGTTTTAATGCTTTTAGAAAAAACCATGGTTCTCCTCTTAAAAATATGAAATAATTTTGAAAAATTACTTTTACTATGGACTAATCTCTGTGGTTCCTTTATCTTTGACCTGACCTCCTTTTTTTCAGACCCGTAGAATACCTCAGTACATTGTGGACAGCTTGGGAAACCCTGCTCCAGGAAACAGAAATAGACGCTCAGGAACATAAGGACACGTCAACCCTGTTAACAAAAAAGGTTGTCAACCCACTTGTTGAGATTGCCACCTATAAAAAGAGTCAGTGTAAGAAGTTGTATAGCTTCCGGGAAAACTTCGAAACCATTATTCAAAAAAGTGAAAACGAATTTAAAAGTGTAAGTAAATACAGAAGCATAGTTTTTAAAATATGTGTGGGAGAACAAAGGTTATCCAATCAATGTTAAGTGAAAATTGAAACAGTAGTTTGGGTCAAGTGGACTTTGACTTTGAATGATAAAAATTGTATATAACTTTTATCAACGTCTTATTCTATCTTGTATCATAACATACATGTAACTACATTAGTCACAATAATAAAAACTTACATTGAGATCATAGGTCACACACTCTGACAGGTAGCAGAGATCACCTTCTGTTACTTCAAGTATGCTTTAATAAATAAGTATTACAAATCATTTTCGTGACACTTCAACTTTTGTTTTGATATTATTGTGAAGGCACCAAACATAAACAACTTTCTCTGTCTTCAGATTTAACATATACAAATACATGTACTTTTTCATTTTATTTCAAATTTCTACCTTTATATTGTAGGTATATGAAAACTACTTAACACAATACGAAAAACATAAAAACAATAATGGAATCAAAAGTATGACTCCATACTACAATGCTCACAACCAATATATACTACAACTAAGGTCTTCCAATATGTTGAATGAAGAGTTTACACTTGGAGCATTACCCTACTTATTAGAGGTAAGGAATTGTTATAGCCCTAATCCAAATGTCATTTCATTCTTTCCCATTACAAGTATGTCATGACATCCCCTGACTCCCCTGCTAGGTAAAAGGTATTTATAACAACTCCTCACTCCACTTCTTAGAGGTATGTCATTAAACCTACCCCTACAGTCGAAAATACAATATACTTACATGACATCTATATAAAATATATAATAATCCACGCACTATTCAGTTATCTATTGGCCTAGTCACATAGCCCGGCCGATGAGGTTCCGATGAGCCAGCGATGCAATTTTCACCGAACTCGGCCGAACACCGGCCGGACATCCGTGGCGTTTGTTGCTTAAAACCGCATCGGTGGCAGCTCGGTGAAATTTTAACTTCGGAGTTAAATTTCACCGGGCTCTCACCGAGCTCCCTCATCGCAGCCCCATCGTAACCACATCAGAACACACGTCGGCCGGTGCACGGCCGAGTATCGGTCGGTGTCCCGTGCATCTGAGACAACCAGAGGACGAGGTTTTTTTAACGGACACCGGCCGAGCTCCGACCGAGCTCCGGCTGATGTGGGACAGAGCCTTGGAAAGTATAGTACCTGAAGATGTCCGGACGGAGTCCGTTCACGTCACCGAGCTCTGCTTCCGATGAGGAGAGCTCGGTGGCACCAAAAAAATCCACCGAGCTCTACCGATGCCGGACATCGGCCGGGCTATGTGACTAGGCCATATATCAGCTCCTTTTGGTGTGCCATCTTTATAGAGTTGTAATGATATGACATCATGACATATAATTTGAATAATTATTGGCCTATTTATTTGTATAATATTGTATTTTAGGAAATTGAAGAAATCAACATCGACACGAGTAATACATTGAATGGTGCTATAGAGACTCACTCACTGATCCTGGTCACAAAGGTAAGATAATTATGGTCACGCCACTGGTCCTTGTTGTTAAGGAAACTTGATCCTTGTCATTTAGGAATTAATCTATCCTTGCCACTAATAATTGATTCTGGTCTTAATAAGCTGATCCATCCGTGCTGCAAGGTTACTTTATATATACCTGTGTTATGAATTTAAGCATAAATGAAGTCCTTTGAAGAAGGGTCAAGCTGGTCCTGGTCATTAAGTTTTTAAGTTTCAAGACATGCTGCTTTACAGCTTATCTACAAATTCAGTGATAAAGAAATGCTATCATTAATCCATGTTTGGGTGATTTCTGGAAGCATTCTGCCATGGCATTAGAAGGACAAAGATTAAACATCATCCTAATTTTTTCTTTCCAGGCCCAGGACCAGAGTAGAAGGTTTGATGGAATACTGAAGGTTGCCAAGCAGGTCAATCCAATGGCAGATATCTCATCATTTGTGAATGCAGTGAACCCAGACCTTGAGCAGCTAGAGGTGACACAGCATGAGTTCATTCCTGCTGAACAGTCCAGTAACAACCCTGATGTAAGAAACCTGGCCTTCTTTCATGCCATTTGCTGGGTATTAGTACATTCATGGGTGTAGCCAGGGGGGGTGATGGGTGCACCCCATAATTTTGTAACATTTGTTGGAAAAACATCAACAAAGTATAGTACGAAATGCTTCAAATTCATCATATACAACATTACTTTGTCCGGGTGGGGGGGGTGACATGTAGTATGGTTTACGTTGATTTTACTTTCAGATAAGTTCTAGTGAAGAAAATTATTTAAAAATGCTTCCTTATTGTTCATTTGGTGAATTTTGAAACTCATTTGTTTATCACCGGTGCTGAAATCTCAATAGATCAAAAGATATCATTGTATGTACAGCAACATTTCAACATTTAATTCATTAATTTCAAGAACTACTAACTTTATTGTAGATAATACTCAGAGAGGAACTTATTGTGGACAAATATACAGAACCTGCAATTAAGTCAAAGAAGCAGTCTCTCCAGAAAGAAGCTGCAGAGCTGACATCATTTCTGAAACAAGCCCAGGATGTCATGATGTCATTAACTAATATATGTCAACGGTAAGTCTTTTAAAAAGATGGCGCTATGAAAGAAACTCACTGCTAAAACATTTGCTTTCTGATGAAATGCTTTTATATTTTGCATTATCTTTTATTTATTGTAGAGTGATGCCCATATCTTTTATACCTGATTAAATACCTTTTTAAATATCCACAATAATTTAACATTTTTTTTAATAATATTGATATTTAAAATATTGTGGCAAGATTCTCCTTTCAAAAATTAATTGAGAGATATAAATTCATACATGGTTTTATTTTTGTGATCCTGTTAATTTGTATTTCATATAAATCAGAGATAAGCAATGAATATTACCATGAAATTGTAAATTATATATATAAATACATGTTGGGATTTAGCTTCCTGTAAGAAAAATTATAGTGGTTGGGTTTTGGAATGCAAAATATAGTGTAAAAGCGGGGAATTAGAAGGAAATGAAACAAACAGAGATGTTGTCTACTTTCAAAATTGTATAGAATTGACAAGAAATCTGAGAGATCAAGCAAATTTTGCAGAGAAATTTGCTGAAATAGGGATGTCAAGCATGTCCGTCTGCTTACGGGAGCACTCAGGTGGTTGTTGCATGTATGATGCCTTAAGTTGAATGTTACATGTACCTCTAACTAGCTCTAACTGACATAACACATGTGCTAGAAATATGCACTGCTATTAATACAGACATATTGGCATTGAAAAAGAGTACATTTGTCAATTATGACGTCTTACCTCATAACTTCAGCTTTACCTTTCAGGTTTCTTTTAAGTTCATTTGAGGAAAGCCGTATTTTATCTGGAAGGGGATGCAGATTAACATACATTATAGACATTGTGTCCATTTGCAGTTACGCAACATTGCCTTATATCTTTTAGATAGGTCTTAATGCAGAAATTCATTGAAACAATTTAATGTTCTGAAATTCATCCATGATATCCACATGATATTAATATTCTAATAGAGTAATATTTTTTGTTTATTTCATTGGAAACATTTCTGTCTTTACCTCCATATCATTGATTATCCTGAATCCTGGATTAATGTTTGACCAATGTGCAAAATATTTTCCAGGACATTGTATACTAAATCTCCTCTAAACATAAGGGAAGAAACACCTGTCAATTAGAAACCAATTTATGGTGATTGAGTTAATTCTAGGTAAAGGTCAAGAAAATATCTTGCCAAATAGAATATGCATCCAAAAGAGTGTAGGGGCCCAGGGCTTAAGATCATAAATTGATTAGGCATCAAAAAACCAGCATACAAACTAATTGTGTGTACCCTCTAGAATTAAAAAGGTTCATAATGCAGTTATTTTTTAACGTAACTGCTTCTCCATATAAAGGTCAGTAGATGCAGATGCAAAAAACTCTTCATAATTAACAATTTTCTACATTCATTCGACATCTCAAATCAATTCACTCCCTCCTTTTATTCCAGCTCATTTGTTCAGTTTCAATAAATGGGTCACAATTTCCATATTTTCCTTTAATTCCTTTAGCTTTTGACTATATAAATCATAAAAGGCTTTTTGACTACAATTGCATTCTGCCGGGCACCACAGCTGAAATAAAACAAATGTTTGTTTGATAAATGGGAACTGGTATGACGTCTTAGTTTCTACAAAATAAAAACATTCTTTTTTCAAGATTGATGTTACCTTGGAAATGGGTTTATGTTGTTCCTTTCTACCTAAATAAGTTAAGGCCATTCCAAGTTAATTTCAAGGTTATGTCCTTTTGTTAGGTCTTATCTTGTAAGGGAGAGGGGTAGATTAAAACAGATTTTAATTTATCTCATTGGATATGGGTTTTATTTTACATTTAAGAGTGCGTGCGTGCGTGCGTGCGTGCGTGCGTGCGTGCGTGCGTGCGTGCGTGCGTGCGTGCGTGCGTGCGTGTGTGTGTGTGTACCTCGTATCATAGCTTGATAATAAAAGTATGTTACTAACTTAACTGACTATATAGATGGCAGGTAACAACTTGTATCGCCTAAAGGTAGTCTACGCCTTAGGTTTCTCTCCGAACAATCAGCGATATCCCATTATAATTGCTTATATATGATATAATGTCTTACATACGTCAGATATATCTAGAGGCCAACTTATGGGTAAAGTATTGTCGATATATTGAGAAACATATCTACCGACTCTCAGAATTGAACACAATTGAGTTCGATAGACGAGGGAAAGCCCTTTTAAATGACAGGAGCATACGAGTATCGGCAAACTCGGCATGTGCCTTGAGCCAGGCAACCAATCAGATTCAAAACTGGTTATTCAATTTCTTTTAGAATCACTAGAACTGCCATTTACGGAGTTCCTTTGTTTACGTGACCATACTGATAAATTAAATGACCAATCAGATAACATATGGCTTTCTCTGGTTTATTCAAGTTTTGGACAATTAATTTAGACAAAATAATTTAACTGGTCAGCATTTGGATCTTCTTCCTGAAGAATATGTGATACGTCTCAACATGCAAAATAGTCCAGGGGGGTCTTGATTGTGCTTTTCTATTGCCACATCCCTCTTTAGATAAATATTATTCCAATAAAATTAAAATTCCTTTCCCAAAATGCATGTATATAAATGTGAAAAACACATGCAATATTTTGCAAGGGATGATTATCTGTTAATCCAGTTTGCTAATCTAATAAGATTATGTAAGACATAGAGGATTTGATCCCACTTGATCTCACTTTGGTCTTTATCTTTAATCTTCACATATTTTGCATTGATTTAGGCATAAACATTGAGGTAACTGTGAAAACATGTATATATCACTGATAAATGATGATACACAAACAACTAAATTAAAGGCAGAATCAGAGGTATACTGTATGGGGTGGCAAAATAGACTAGATGCGAGTAAATATAATCTTGATTTACATCATTAAATATTCAAAATTCAGTCAAAGTGATGTCATATTTGAAATGTGCATGTAAAAACATCTAGATTTATGGTTTTGAAAATTATTTATCATCTTTGAAAATTTAATTTTTTTTCGAAAATGTGATATCTAGTCCGGGTCAATTCCCCATCAACCCCATGTTACAAAATCACAAAATATCTTGTATTGGACAGATACCATTTTCTTTTATTGGACATATTTAATTTGCATAACTATTAGATACATAAGGGTTATATGAAAATTGAACCACAAAAACAGATGTAATTTAAGTTAAAGGGAACTTTCCACTATACATGTACCTGCCATGCTATCTGACCCGAACGAGCCACCTGGTGGTGAAACTGGTAGCTACCTCCTCACATCTGCGTTATTGCATGCAGCATTGATGTTCACATAATGTATTCTTCACAATTTCAAATGAATAATCTCCTGAAGATCATGATATCTTAACATATAGATTTTATTACCCCATCGAACAAAGTTCGGAGGGATATAGGGAACGCCTCCGTCCGTCTGTCCGTCCGTCTGTCCGTCCGTCCGGGCAATAACTCAAATACCGTTGGCCCGATTTTGTTCATATTTTTTACACATATACCCTATGGGGCTAGAAGTTCTGCTCGAAAGCCGATTTTCAGAATGGCCACTCATTTCAAAATGGTGGCCATTTTAGTGCCGAATTTACAGTAATTTAGGTGCAATATGTAAAACTGTAATAGCAATATGTTTTAGATGTAAAAAAATTATATAGGACATTAATAAAGCTAGAAATGTAGATATTAAAGAAGCACATGGCAGCCATCTTGAAAAATGGCGGCCTTTACTCGTTATTTTACGATTTTTGCTGTAACTCGAAAAGTAGTGGAGCGATTTTGTTCATATTTGGTATGTGAATACTATAAACATTGCACACTGTCTAAAGACACTTTTGGTAGAAGGTGGCCATTTTAAAAAATGGCCGCCATTTTGAAAAATGGCTGCCATTTTAACCTATTTTACTATAACTCGAAAAGTAGTGTAGCGATTTTGTTCATATTTGGTATGTGAATACTATAAGGATGGCACACTGTCTAATGACACTTTTGGTAGAAAATGGCCGCCATTTTAACATATTTTACTATAACTTGAAAAGTAGTGGAGCGATTTTGTTCATATTTGGTATGTGAGTACTAAAAGCATGACACACTATCCTATGACACTTTAAGTAGAAGGTGGCCATTTTGAAAAAAAATGGCCGCAATTTTTAATGTATTTTATAATAATTCGAAAAGTAGTGAAACGATTTTGTTCATGTTTGGAATGTGAATACTGTAAGCATGGCACACTGTCTAATGACACTTTTGTTAGAAGGCTGCCATTTTGAAAAATAGCCGCCATTTTAACGTATTTTACTATAACTCGAAAAGTAGTGGAGCAATTTTGTTCATATTTGGTATGTGAATACTATAAGTATGGCAAATGGTCTAATGACACTTTTGGTAGAAGGCGGCCATTTTTGCTATAAACTTTGTTTGTAAAAATGCCATCCATGGCTGTTCGATGGGATTCGCTACGCTTTGGCGTTGCTGTTGTTCTGGTTTTAAATTCCATGTGCAAAAATATGTAAATTCTTCCAAATATTAAAATGTAAGAATCTTTATTTTCCCATGTAATGGAAAATGAATATATCAAAATCGAAGGAGTCTCAATTTAACAACTCATCTTAATAAAGAAAATCCTCCCAACCTTGCCTAGCATTCTATTTCAGTACTTCCTGAGAATACCAATAGTTGTAGATTACTAGATCATGTACCTATTATTGATTCAGTTTCGTGGGAAATTATGATTTTTGGAAGATATTTGAAGCCTTATGGGAAATTCAAGCTTTTGTGCAAATTTGAAAAATCTGAACATTTTTGGAAAAACATATGCTTAAAGGTGTAAGGTTGAAACCTGGGATCTATGGTGGGAGGGGGTCATTATTAATTTTATGTAATTTTATTATAGAAAACAATTTGATTTGTGATTTATCATTTTATGTTTTTATATGTATAGATAATGAGTGAATCTTGATCCACTCATTGATTAAAGTGTTTTTTTAGAAAACCATGATGTGCAAATTGCAGTTTTATGAAAAGGTTATTTTGGATTTATGATACTCACGGTGTATAACCCAAACGCTCCTACATGCACGAGGGAGCGTTTCATTACTGAAATTAAACAAAGAAACGCTCCGGAGTAGGAAAAATGTCTGGCGGGAATGATGAGCCGTCTGACAATTTCCCCAATAATGGGAATAAGAGGTATGAGTTACATATTTCGAGTATACCATTCGATGGGTGTGATATTCATGTTGTACGTGGCTGGCTGTTGACGTTTGAAGCAATTAGGAAGAGCTGTACGAAGCAGTATAGTTATCAAAATTCAAAAACGTATTTGTCATTCCACCGGTCAAAACCCCTTTTGTCGATACATGTGATTAGTTGAGCCAAGATTAGAGCACCAACGTATATTTTAGTCAAATTCCAATGCTTCAACGCACCATACATTAACGTAATAGTGATTTGATGACCGAAAATCCAGTCTTAAAACATGATGACATTCTCATATTCAAGAAACGCTCCGATCTGGTTAACACAGTGAATTGGAAACGCTCCGGTAGTCTAGATCAGTTAAGGAAATATATAGCTTGCCTTTCCTTTTCAGGAAGAGAAAGAAAAGATCTATTATACCCCTTGGCATCAATAGAAGAAAGATTAATTCACATATAACTTTTCGTTTTTTTCTATAGTTTTATGATTTAGCACATATGTAGGCATGACATCATCTAATGTATAGGCTTTAATCAGCTAATTGCACGTTTAGCACCACCAGGTTCAGATGTTTCAATTTGCCTAACAAGTACAACACGTTTTTTAGAGATAGATTCGATTCGGAACTCTTCTCTTATAATCTGAAAATGATATCAAAACAAAATGGTAAGAGCGTTTCTAAAATTGTGGTCTAAATCGACGGAGCGTTTCGAGGAAAACAAGCGATTTCTCGAGAACAAGTAATGGATTTGGACTGGGATTTTAGGAAATGAGAATATACGAGTTTGTGATCTACTACTTAAACAGAAAGATTAACGTTTCCATAGAAATACTAGTTTAATTCGTAATTTGTGGTCAAATCGTCATCTTCAGATTCGTTCGATCTACACTACGGAGCTTTGATCAAGCAAATAACAGTTTACCACCAGAAGTTGAATAAATAAGATCTTTGCTCACGGTATTGTTCATCGAATGGTACATAATATTTCACCATGACATATGACATGTAAGAGAAACGAGAGAAACAATACTTATGGTCATAGTGGAATCTTCATTAGCCGCCATTTTATTTCGCTCCGGAGCGTTTCCGCGTAAATGTAACGCTCCGTCGTGCATGTAGGAGCGTTTGGGTTATACACCGTGATACTGAACGATGCTTAATCTGACCACAGAAAATTACTAACATGGTCTCGCTAATGAAGTTACCTTACCATAATAAAAAAAGGCTCACCTGGTATTTTGCCAGATTGTTTTTGTATTCCTCTGATTTTAATAACAAACTAATAAGTATATTTTCCCCAAAGTGAATGGACCAGTATAATGACTGTCATATAGTTTTTGTCCATACAGCATTGATAGTAAATACTTTTGGAAAACAGCAATGTTGTTGCTAAAGAAACACCATGATTATACAGAATGTTTTCTATTATGTGTGTAATATCGGCTGAAACTTTTTTGCAGATTATGAATAGTATTATATTTTTGTTATACAGAACATTTGAATTTTATTAGGGATCCTAGTATCTTATTTTTATCAAGGGTCGGGATTAGCAGAGAGAGCAGATATAATTTGGCTTAATGTGTTTGTATTATGAAACGCTTAAGTAATCTTCAAGAATAAACTTGGCATAATTTCTTGAATGGTCATATCTTCTTTAGTTTATTACAGCAAAAAGCAAGAAACCTCAGTAGAATAAGATAAATAGTCTTGTAATGAATACCCCATATTGTATACAAGTATAAGGAAATCAGTCACTTATTTCAATATTTAGAGAGAAAAAGATAAAAATAGATTGGTACTTTAAATCCGTCTGCTCAGTCGGGAACTACTGGTTGCTTGGAGAAAGCCTACCTGTAAACTTGCCAGCAGGAGTCTCTCTATCTGATGAATTATTTATATAACTTGCTGTGTTTCTCACCTCTCAACTTTTCGGTATCCAAATTGACTTAACTGCATAAAAACAACTGTAATGTTGGAGAGTAAAGAGAGTTTGGGGATCTACCTCTGACCCTCTGGGTACAGACTGTGCTGATAAAAACAAGAATTTTCGATTCAGATTTTTGAAATCAATGTGCAGATGTTAATGGGATTAAATATTTATGTCACACTTGGGCTCTGGGATTAGCCATATTGATGTATGGTTCATGGATGTTTTGGGTGCAATTGGATACCAAATCTGTGCTTTAACTCTGCAAACACGGTATTACTTGTAGATAACTGCATGATTGACTTTCACGTATTTGAGAGATTAGCACCAGTTTAGCAGATGATATAACACTATGTATAGTTGGAAATCATAGAAAATTACTCTTGTAGACACAGAACTGAGATAATGTATTTTAGGATTACAACTAGCAGCAAGTGAAAATAAACGATGAGAAATCACTATTGAGACAATGTCGGAAGAAAAACAAAAGAGATCCAAGGGATATGAAAGGCAAAATTCGAAAAGTGGGGAATCTTCTGAAATGTCACACAAGAAGAAACCTAGTCGACAGGAGAGTGTGAGTAGATTTTCTTTTGATTCTTTTTTCTCTGTATTTTTAGAAATTTAGCGAATCATCTGTATGCCAAGGTGTATGAAACCCAAGAGGATTTATGTCGAAAACGCAATGAAATCCGCGTGGCCAACTTACAACTTGCAGCTGTCAGGGCTCAGGTAGGTGGAGTGTGTTGTACTTGTTGATCTTGTTGACATCTTACATGTAAGCTCCGATTCTAACAGATACCGTTGTCATGGTGTTTGAGCTAGGTTTACTTGATTATTGGACTTCATTGTCATATATCCAGATGATTTACTATCCATTCCAGTCTCTCTGTTATGATTGGTGGGAGTGTTATCACTGGAATTATATCCTCTCAACAGAAATATTGAATTTACAATGAGTATGATGAGATAAGGGTGAAAAGGGTACAATGAACCAATCAGGGCATATAGGTAAAAGTTTACCTTGAAGTGTACAATTTTACCTTGAATTTCAAATTTTGACCCATGAACATTGAGAATATTTGTTGAAGATGAAAAACCATCGAGAATACCATAAAATGTTACCAATTTATCACAGGGTATATGGGTTAAAAATATTTTTATCATCATGTGAAAAGTTGATATTGTCATTGGTAAAAGAAACTGAATATGATATTTTATACAGAATAAATACTGAAAAGTAGCTAGATGGGGCAATGCAAGGCCAATACATATGTATCAGTATGTGCCTTTAAATTCACTGTTAGATGGAGAAATGAAAGGCCAGTAATGTCAGTATGTGCCTTGTTATTCATCGTTGGATGGAGAAATGAAAGGACATTAATGTCAGTATGTGCCTTGTAATTCATTGTTTGATGGAGAAATGAAATGCCAATAAATGTCAGTATGTTCCTTGTAATTCATTGTTAGATGGAGAAATGAAAGGCCATTAATGTCAGTATGTGCCTTGTAATTCATTGTAAGATGGAGAAATGAATTGCCAAGGCCAATAAATGTCAGTATGTGCCTTATAATTCATTGTTAGATGGAGAAATGAAAGGCCAATAATGTAAGTATGTGCCTTGTAATTCATTGTTAGATGGAGAAATGAAAGGCCATTAATGTTAGTATGTGCCTTGTAATTCATTGTTAGATGGAGAAATGAAAGGCCATTAATGTCAGTATGTGCCTTATAATTCATTGTTAGATGAAGAAATGAAAAGTCAATAATGTCAGTATGTTTGGCCTGGAGCGGGACATATACAATATATCCTGCCTGCTCCTCAGATATGATATATTTTCCAGGATGATATCACCCCAAACCCACTCAAGTATGAGATACACAGAAATATCCATCTTGCTCTCTTAATACACTTTTTCTACACATTATGTACCTAGAACCTCTGTATGTATTGAATACATGTCAGTATGTGCCTCGTAATTCATACACATAAAATCCCAAGGCCAAATATTGATGATTTGTGATTTAAATTGGCATGAGATGACATGAAATATTTCGGAAAAGGACCTCAAGATCAAGGAGCCAATAAATCACCCATAATTAGATATTTATCTCACAAAATCCAAACTATTTGAGATCCCAAGATACATAAAAGTATCAATTTATTCGGCTCATTTGATAACTCATTTGCATAGAGGCCAGAGAAGCAATGGAAGTGTTGTCCATGTAGGCATTACCAAAGTAGAAGTGCGACCATTTGCCTGCACTTAATTACCTCCCTATACTCTCCTAAGTTCTATGTTAATGCCTGATTATTTTTTACAGATTCCACTTCCATTGTTAATGGTTTTAAAAAAGGTTTTTCCCATGAATAGTTGATCATTAATAGATGATATTTTTTCATCAACAAGATTTCAACATGAATATGTATTGTATCATGTGTTGAATCTTTGGCAGAGTATTACAGTATTGAATTGTTAGATCATGTCTCATGGGATCCTACAAACTATTCAGGGGCGGATCTGGGAACCAACAAGGGGGGGGGCCCAAATTTCAGGTCAGAGAAAAAAACGTCCGCGCTTGCGCGGAAAAAAATTTTGGGCCCCTAAAACGCAAAAGTGGGCCCAAATTTTGAAATTTTGAGGCCCATTTTCTTCAAAATTTGGCTTGAATTTAAAAAATAAGGCCTTAAAAGGCCCATTAATGACCAAAAAGGCCGACTTTTTGGGGCCTTAAGGCCTTCTTTGGCCCAAAATTTTTTTTGGGCCCAATTTTTTTTTCTGGGCCCACCCCCAGGCCCCCCCCCTAATCCGCCAGTGCTATTTATATTTGTTCTGTACTTCTGAGACCTACCACTAGTCAGAATGTATGGAATTTGTTAATAACCATTAAGTATAATCCAGTGAGTCCAGAATGGATATTTCAGATAGACCATCATATCTCAGGATTTATCCCCTAGTTGAGGGCAAATCTGAAGAATAACATGTACATTATGTATATATTTATGATATTTAACTTAGGTTTCCATTTGAATACACATATATTTTTAATTCATGTTTATGTGAATGATTTTATAACCATATGTACAATATTGTCATGTTACAATATTACAGGAATTCTGAAAAATGATACAATTTTACTTCTTGAACAATATTACAATAATCACGGGCTTTTAACAGTCTTGAAACCCCATGCAATAATTTACAAATATAATATAACATAAGTCATACAATAAATAATTATAGCTCATGTCATAGCCTAAGATAAAGAGATTTAAACTTTCTCAAGCTATTTTTTTCGATTTATTTCAATTTCCTTGATATTGATATACAAAAGTATGCCTTTGTTAACTTAATAACATTAGCGGCATAGTAAAAATTAAAAATATAACACTGGAATTTACACGATACAAAAACCAACAAGCTATAGTTCATTTGAATATATTACTGTGATATATAATGACCTATGTGGCTCTAGATTCACCATGCAGCATGCTTTATTTCAACCACTACTTATATTAGGCTTTGGGTGATAGACAATTCTTTTATAGTTGATTTTGGGGTTAAGAGCCCCCAAAGTTGTTGATTGGTTTAAAGAACGATGTTTATAGGTATCAGGGGCGGATCTGGGAACCAACAAGGGGGGGGGCAAACTTCTGGTCTGAGAAAAAATATTTGGCCTCCTAAAACCAAAAAGTGGCCCCAAATTTTGAAATTTTGAGGCCTATTTTCTTCAAAATATGGCCTAAAATAAAAAAAATAAGGCCTAAGAAGGCCCATTTATGGCCTGAAGGCCTTTTTTGCCAATAAATGTATTTTTATTTATATAATTGCATCATTTTAGTAGTTGCAAAACTGATGGATTGGGAACAAGCTTGATATTACCAGGCCACCTGTTGCCAGCTTCTCTTTGCTTTATGTAATAGCATTTAGTATAAGAATAGCCAAGAATGTGTTCTGAGCATCTGAAGCTCTTATCATAGCCATCACCCTAGAGCTTGTTTTCATCTTCACAATAAAGATATTGATAATATTTTCATTTATTTATAAATCTATGTTCCATGTTTAGCTTTCTTCTGGGTGTTTGGCTTCATGGGGGTCTGTTTTTTATATCTCAGTTGCTAAATTATCTTTGAGATATTTTTATCATAAATTATGAACACCTGTATTTATAATTAAATCAAGCTGCTTAAAGATATGTATAACATACTCCTCCCATAAATGAGGTTAGATATGGATAATAATAATCAATGTACCCTTGATTGTTTGGTTGGTTGCATGGGGAAAACAAAATATTCCACAGATATCAATTTTTTATTAAGTATTTGAAATGCCTGCTACTGTGATGTAATATTCTTTTATTTGCATTCACTAAATAGAGCATTAGTGATCTATGGGATAATAAGAATATCCTTTGATTTTTTGACACCAACATCTGTACTATTTTAATGTTCTCACTCACTTCCTCAGAAATCAATATCAACTGGAAAAATGTAATCACTCAAAATCACAGGATTTCTTATGCATATGTCAGTCAGGAATTTCTTGGTGCAATGCAACATTACAACAATAAAACTTATCTAAACTAAACAAAATCTAAAATATAATCTTATGGCTTTTCCAACTAACTAACACTAACTTTTACAAACACTGTGGAAGATATCGACCAACATGATGTAGTGAACCAGCTAATAAATTACATTAAAATGCATTAGAATGTTTCTATTATAAAACATAATGTGATTGATGGGAACAGATTCAGACAGAGTGATGGATGATTTCTATATACTGAGGATTAACAGGGCTATAGAAGAGAAAAATAAATGACTATAGAAAATATGTAATGGATTATCTTCACTTTACATTTAATGACAAGGGATTATTAGTGGGTTTTTTTATTGTGCATAAATTCACACATAGCTAGGCAAGGTGTGTATGATTCCGGTTAATCCAACCACAGTATTTCATATAACTGCAATGCATTATATCACAAATCACCGCAATCAAGGTCACTCCTATATGGCTTAAATCCTTAAGTAATTTTTAAGAAAGGTTCACTGGATAAAAGTTGATATATTTGAAGAAGTACTCAATATTCGAAGATTTCCTTCACCAAATCTCACACATGATTATTCTCGTTTCTTTGACAAGTCAAGAAATTGTAGAAGTATTTGTTCTACCTGTCTGGACTTGGAAGATGAGGGTTAATCTTCTACAAAGAAAGTATCTTATATACTTGTAAGTTGTACATATAGCTTACATCCTGACCCCTCTTATGGGGATCTTATTTGGGCATATGGCATCAATATTGCCTTTTCTGAAATATCATTTGATTGTCATCACATAGGTAGAGCCATATATATGATCGATTTCAAACTGACAAATTGCCGCTATTGCCCCCTTGGCTTGCCATAGAATGACTTGAGAGACCAATAAAAATGTGTTACCTCTGATTATTATTTAATCAACGACAATAGTACAATAATGTCATTTCTAAGGGCAATATAGTGATATTTCATTTGATTGTCATCACATATGTAGAGCCATGTACTGTATATGATCAATTTCAAACTGACTGCTATTGCCCCCTTGGCTTGCCATAGAATGACTTGAGAGACCAATATATATAACTTTTATTGACATCTTGTATCATAACATGATTACATTAGTCATAACTATGAAAAAACTAAATATCTAAACTACAAATACTAACTAAGGCAAAAGTACAAAAA